ATACTGTTATCCACAGCAGTGGATTGTTCAAATATAGATGAATAGTTTTAGACCTGCAATGGACTGGCGACCTGTCCAGGGTGTATCCTGCTTTCCGCCCAATGACAGCTGGGATAGGCTCCACCACCCCACCGCGACCCAGAAGGATAAGCGGTTTAGATGATGGATGGATGGATGGATGGATGGATGGATAGATAGTTTTAGACCTTTTGCCAACTCACCCAGATCTACACACAGAAACATGCTTCTATCCAGCATGTGAAAACTGATGCAGTGCTCATTCACTACCAGCATGATTACCTGCATGCTCAGAATATTATGCTTAGCGTGATATTAAGTTTTGTATCACTGAAATAAAACATGCTGAAAAATCTGAAGAAAACCAAACACTTTGCTACATCCGGGGTGTGTTGTTATTAAGAAGGAGGCACCTCCTTACCAGCAGAGAGCATATATAATGGACCCACGAACATCTGGCATTCGGGAAAACTTAATTGAAAAAGTTGACATTGACCCTGAGGATCTCTCTATTTGAACGAGTTATGCACTTTTTGCTTCAAGAGGAAGGTACCTGTAAAAAGCCTAGATTAGAAATCAGGAAAACAAGCAAAATGTTTCCTAATGCCACTTCAGTTTTGATCATTGCAATGGGTCCCACGTTTTTTGCTTCAGTGATTGTGCCTCTCTCTGTAGTCAGCATCATTCTGAACATTTATTTACTCTACTGTATGGCATTTCCTGAGCAAGGATCAGAACGGCTGAAGCAACCCCTTAAAGTTTTACTGGGATCGCTGTTCGGATTCAACACTGTTCTTCACATCTGCAGTCTCCTTTTGGCTTTAAGGGATTTTGTCTTTTTACCTTTTTCTGTAGCAAATATTTTATTCACTTACACTGTCCTAAATCTGGTGCTGTTCTCTGTAAGGGCCAGTGTCACTTCCTCTCTTTGGTTGAATGTGTTCTACTACAGCCAGATTGTTCCTGCTCAGCGTTCTGTCTCCATCTGGTTAAAGAAGAATATCAGAGTCTTCACATACTCCGCTCTGATCTTGGACAAAACCTACATTTTGTTTGGATTCATCATAAATATTTCAGATACTGCTGTTTCGTTTACTGAATATTTTAAATATACTGCAGGTGTCAACGACACAGACACAACCTGGAACAGAACATCTGTAACAAGCATTTTATTGTCCAACATGGTGCTGATAAACTTTTGGATAAGATTAGGCTTAACTTTGTTCAGTCTTTGTGCCATGTCAGCAGCGAGCTGTGCGACTGTTGTCTATCTGTGGAGACACATAAAAAGCATGGAGGAGAGCAGCAGCAGCTCCCTGTCTTCTCCTCATCTGCGGAAACAGATGAGAGTGACCATCACAGGCATCATACAGGCTCTCCTTTACTTCCTCTGTTCAACCTGGATGACGCTAGACGCACTCCTTGGACTTAAATTGCCAATCGTTTTTGATATGAATCGCCATATTCTTTGCACTATTATTTGCTTCTATTCTTTTGCAACAACCATTAACGTGTGTGTTGGTCAGACAATGTTTAGGCAGCGGGTGGTTCATCTGTGGGAAAAAATTCTTTCTTCTTTCCCAGATTCTAATCTGAATGAGTAACACTTCACATTCTCACATCAGGTCCACAATTCCTTGTGGAAATATATATATATATATATATATATATATATATATATATATATATATATATATATATATATACAGAGACCACTCTGCAGTTATTTAATTTCCAAACTGCCGTTAGGTACATTATTCATTTTTCAAGAGGTAATTCTGAGGAGATCAGATATAATATAATCCTCTTGCATAAAGAAGGAGAAAGTGAAAGAAAAATACGTGAAAAAACAAATTTCCAAAACTGGAGATAAAAACTAATTAGTGAAATTAGTGATACTAACAACTGTACAAGACCTGGTAGACAAAACTGTCACCATCAGATGAACAGAACTTAAAGCTTTCCTCTTGGAGAGAATGTCAAGCTGCACTATTGCTTCACATCTGAAAAAGTCCACAGGTGTTTCTGTCCATCCTTCCCCTGGGAGAAGACAACTGAACACTAAGAGTCTGAAAGAATATGAGGTTGTTAAGAAGCTGTTACTTAGAAAAGGAAACAGAAAAAGAAAAATATATGCAAATCAAACAAGAAGCTGCTGTTTTTTTTTTTTTCAGAACAATGTGCTGGTCACCCCAGAGTCCAGACCTCCACATCATTGAATAGGAATGGACGGTGTGAAAAAATATATCTGCAGATTTCTTTCAAAAACTGAAAGCAAGTCTCACAAAAAGACTGGAAACTGTAATAAAAGCAAAGTGCGGATGCACTTAAAACTTAGATATTATATTTTGGTGTTGAGGCCTCTGAGTAATTTTCCATTCATCCTTTTTATTTTTTTTAATATTTTTTAAAGTTTCATTATATACTTCTATAACCTAAGATGAAGCTCAGCCATTTTGCAGTTTGCATTGAAGTCCCTGAAGTTACTAAATGATAAGCCTTAGTATGTAATAAGCCTGGGATTTTAAGGGGTTAATGGCTATTTTGACTGTGTATTTTTTTCAAGAACATTTTTTTCAGAACATTTTGGGTGTACAGTTGTGTGCTAGGCTTAGAAATCTGATATGAATGTATGTTTTATCATTGTTACTTCAGTTTATATATACTGAAATGGCTTTTGCACACATAGAAATAGCAAAGGTGTTTCTGTTTCTGCCCTTCATATGCTGTGAGAATAGTTTTAGATTTGTAAATCCTTTAGGTACCTGGCTCTGAATGTTCTGTATGTTGACGCTGTCAACATTGTAGCGAGGTCATAATTAAAAGATATGTTGGCATGTGAGGTGATGTGATGAAATAGCACTGTCCTGTTGGAATGTTGTAACGTGATGATCAGAACAACCCATTTCAATATTTCAAAGCACTAAACTAGTTTATTCAAGCTGATCGCAGATTTACATTTTCACATGTATAACATCTGAGGAAACTCTTTCTTCAGTTGGGTGGCAATAAACATGTTACAAATTACCAATTATTTTAATTTTGGTCATTTTTGTGGCTCAGTGTCAAGAGCAACACATCACCCAAAGAAGAATTATGTTACGGGGAGGCAATACAGATGGTAAAGTGAAGTTACTGCAGGCAAGGAAACAGAACACAAGAGTCTGTATCACTGTAATTGACTTCCCCTAAGCTAATTCTCCTTCTGATGTCACAAAGAATTTGTGCGATGATGATATGCAAAGAAAATTCTGTTACATTTCTTTATACAAGTCCTAAAAACAGGGCAGTTGTCATGCTGTCATGTACCACTACACTAAGAGTGCTATTGTTACCAAAAATGTATAAGTTTTCATACATTTCAAGAAATAAAAGAAGACCTGTCACTTTTGCCTCATATTAATATTTTCATTTTTAACTCCAAAGGCCATTTGTGAGCATTCAAAAATAAAAATGTCTAGTTCACTCAAATACACATTTAGTAAAACTGAAGAGAAAAATGGTTTACAACTCTTTGTTGGGCCTTCAGTCTGGAGTACTGTCCAAACATTTTCTGACATATTCTGTCATATTATTTGTATTTTAAAATGACCAATCTCATTCACTCAAGTTCCAGTTCACGTCATTGGATCAACAGAATTGTAAATTTTGACTTGTCTAAACACATAATGCACTACATGATCTTTTTATTAAAATGATTTATTTGTACTGACAATTCATAGGAACATGTTTTGTTGTCTTTAAAAATTTTACTGAATAAAAAAAGAAAAGTTGCGTTTTTTTTGGGTTCACTTGGTCCAACAGGCAGCCCAAAATGACCTTCATCTGTTTTTCTTAGCAGTTTGTGTAATTTGCATTGTAAATCCAGATGCAGTGGAACCTGCAGGATGTAGTGAGATGAATTACATTAGGCAATTCCACATCTGATTCCTCACCTCACTGTAGCACTCAAAAAGAAGGAGTGGATTTAATGGGAATTTGTTTATAGGTGGACTATGAGTGATAGAGACCCATCAACACCATCAAAACTACTATCTTAATGTACTATCTTACAATATATTGTTGCTGTTGGGACGAAAACTGGTCTTCAAAATGGAAGGAAAAAACTTTCTTAACTTGTAATTGAAGTCAATGTAAAAAGATTTTTTTTCCAAGTAATTTTTGACCTTTTCTGTAAGTCCATTCACCATGAAAATTTAACCCAATGCAAAAGGTAACTGCAGTTTTCAAGTTGTGTAAAAAAAAGTGAAAAAGGACAAAAATGGAGATCGACAACATGTGTCTTAAGATGGTATATAAGAAACTTTGAAAAATGTTGAAAAACAGGTTTTATGAGGTATGATAAGGTAATCATTTTAAAAATCATTTTGTTTTGCTGAAACAACGACTCATACAGTCTACAGGAGCTCAGATCTATTTTCCTACTTCATCATTAGGCAGTACTCAAAGGTTATTCCCTTCTTTGATTATGACAAATGCTAATATGAACAGAGCAATTACGGCGACAATCCCGTCTCCTCAGGGCACTCACTCTTGCAGCTACATCTCAGACATCATATATGTGAACATAAGATGGACAGTGCACCGATTTAAGATGCCTAGTGCTTCAGATGCCTTTCGGCAGTTCTAAATTCACATTGTGCTGCTGATATTGCATAGTGGCAATGTGACAAATGAATATATGGTCAGCTAAAAAAAAATGATCAGGGTACTTTGCATTCAAATACAGGTAAAAATTCATGTAGGCAACCAGCGTTGAGAAGCATGTAGATTTACCAGCATGACCTGGTCTGATTCCTTTTAATAGAAGGGGCGTATCAGTACTCAGTTATCAATCAAACAATCTGTGCGGAGGAGCTGATAGAAAAACTGTTTGATTCCTCGGGGCATGTGTTGTTTTTAAGAAGCAGGCACCATCTTACCAGTAGAGAACATATATAATGGACTACTAAAGATTTGTAATTCAGAAAACAATCAGAGAAATGGCTCAGAACGACTCTGGGGTTGACGTTATTGGAATGAGCTTCAACGTTTTTGCTGTAGTGAATGTGTCTGCATCTGTTTCCAGCATCCTTATGAACCTATTTTTTGTTTTCTGCATGATCTTGCCACACCAAGAGTCGGAGCAGCTGAAACAACCTCTTAGCATTTTACTTGGATCACTTGTTGGATGCAGTATTGCTGTTCATGCATGTGTTCTTGTTTTTGTTCACAATGGCTTCATCTCCTTCGCATCAGATTCATCACAGTTTATGTTTTACCACCTCATACAAGAACTTATGCTGTTTACCATGAGGACCAGTGTGACCTCCCACATTTGGCTGAATGTGTATTACTACTGCCAGATTGTTCCAGCTCAGTGTTCATTCTTCATCTGGTTGAAGAGAAACATAAGAGTCTTTGTGTACTCTGCTCTGGTCACTGAAAAACTCTTCTTTTTGTCTGGTTTCATCAGCAACATTTTATATTATTCTGAAGTGCTGCAATGTTGTTACAGTACCAATGATACAAATTCAAGTCTCACAGGCACACAACATAATGCCACAGACACAAAGCTTCTTGTGCTGTCCAATATATTTAATGTACAGTATTGGTTAAGATTAGCCTATTTCTTGCTTAGTCTTTGTGTGATGTCAGCATCAAGCGGTGTGACTGTTCTCTACCTGTGGAGACACATGATGAACATGGAGGAGAGCAGTAGCTCCTTCTCCTCTCCTCGTCTCCACAGACACATGAGAGTGACCATCACCGGCATCATACATGCTGTCCTTTACATCATATGCTCAACCTGGTTAATATGTGATGGACCCCTTCGAATTCAGTTACCCAGTCATTTTGATCCAGAACGCAACATATATTGCACTGTTATCTCTTTGTACACCTTTTGCTCAACCTTGAACTTGGGTGCTGGTCAGTCAATATTCAGACAGCGTATAGTTAATGCATGGCAAAACCTTCTGCAAATTTTCAAATACTTGTATGAGTAAAAGAGCGATACTTTATGTTAGTGGTGCACTGAGATGAAATTGCTTGACTGAAGCCAACGCCAAAATTCAATACACACTTGGACGAAAACCAAAAATAAGGGTTTATGAGTGTTTTTGAATTCACTTTTGCGCTATCGTTTGGGAATTTTTTCATCATTTCAAAAACAGAGGCTATGGCAGGGACTCTCATTTCTGCTTCTGTTTTGCTGTATTCTGCATATCGAATGGGATGGTGCCTTTTGAAGTGGTATCAAATCACTTGAGAAGGTCTGGAGAAGTTCTTGAGCGATGTGCACCCTCTTGATTCTCAGCATGAACAGTGAATACAAACTGTTTCTCTAATGTCCCTTATAGAAACTGGGAAATAATTCTATGTGGCCAGCATTGTTTTGCTCAGAATGTTCATATGTATCTGTTCTTAATGGTGTAGAACAGCTGGGATTGAGAACCCCAGCAAAAGACACACTTCATGTAAACAAATCACAGTCATTTATCAGATTCATACTGGACACACCAATACTTCACAAACGCAAATTCAGCCCAGATATGACATGTTTTGAGAGATTCTTTTTAGAATCTAGTAATTTTATCTAGATTGTATAAATTGTACAATCATGATGTTATGATCAATTGGTAGACAAGTTCTCAAAGAAGATCTGGAAAGTAACTCACTGCATGTCCTTTTGGTAGTTAATGTGAGTTGCTTGTTTCTAGAAGAATCATCCTTTTGAATAATTTAGACAACAGTGTTTTTTCAAATGCTTTCCAGTTTAATATCACTCATGACTCAAAGATCTAGCCGAAAAGTTGGAAGCTTTCCTTTCAAAATATTATGCAAATGGCAACTTAGTTGGCTTGCAGCCATTTCCACATGTTTATAACACTTTGCATTAGTGTTTTATGAATATTGCAGTCAAAATCTAGATGCTAATAAATACTATTAAAAAAGCATGGCAGCATGACATTTTCACAGTACTGCAATGTTTTATTTGAATACTTAGTAATCTGTAATAGAAAAAATGTTGTAAACATTCTTCAGAACCACATCTACAGTCCACTAACATACAGAGTCCAGATTCTTCTGCATCTGCATTTAGATACAACTTAAAACTGGTATAATGTGATTTCAATGTTATCTCTTACTAAAGAAGACAGCTATAGTGGTAATGTTTATTAAATGTCAAATTATAATTTATTAATTATAGTTTCTAGTTTTATAGTTAATTATAGTTAACACCTGTATGAGTTACATGAGACATGGGACTGCATTTTTTTCTAGAAAATTACATGTAAAGAGACACAAGGATTTGACTTCTAATGTTAATATCAACTGAAAGCTATACATTGCTTTATAAGTAACCTGATTGTCTTAACTGTTATATTGAGGCCATGTTTCTATCATGTTGTGGATTGAATCATTTTGCATGGCATCACATTACAGTGTGCACACTACCACTGGATGGCAGCATACTGCAATCAAGAAATGTGGGATCATGAAAAAGGACCTTTGGATATTTTTAGCAGGTGGTAAAACTAAACATACCTTTGAATTTTTGCACAGGTTATTATTCTTATGGGTGTTGTTCAGCAGTCTTTGTATTATTTCTCAGTCGCAGTGCTGTAATATTGAGGCATAGACAGCGTGGAAGAGCCCTGGATTTTGCCCACATGAATCTAAACACAACTCACACAGTCTAACACAATCGCTCTGCTGTGGATGTAGGATTAAAGTAAATTGCTTGTTCAAGTCAAATTACTCATGCCACTCCTATTACAGATGTGTAAAAAAGTTAAAGTAGTCGCTATTGCTAAGACATTTATCATGCCGCAGATATTATAGACTTTCTTAGTTGATCAGCTTAAAAGTGCAGTAAACATTTAGATCATTTGTGTTTGGAGATACAGAGAGGAAAAGATGCGGTTTCCTTTCTTCTTCCATTTCAGTTGTCCTTACAGAATAGTCACACAGTACAAAACTTTGTGCATTTGCGTTTCTGCAGACTAATAGATACAAGATTATAATACTACCATTCCCCTTTTTAGAATTTCACATTTATATTATTTACTGGTTTGGTAACTCCCTCTAGTGGTAATGTTTGTCCCATTACGTTAATCACAAAAAAAGAAAAACTCCAGTGTTTTAAACTAATCTTTATCAGATGCATCTGTAGCATACAACTGATTACCATGGATGGTCAAAGGTGAAGTTTTCACAGATTCCTGTCTCATGATGCTCGCAAGCAAATGACCATGACCATAAAGTCATTGGAACTATTTGTTTGTGTCAGCCTAAAATTTGTATGTTATATATTGCTGTGATTTATGTGTATATCACTGTAGGCTCTGTCATGTTCTGCACTATAGTAGTTCTATAAATTTGTGAATTTATTTTTTATTTTAATTATTCTGTTAAATAAAATGGTTATTTTAACATAGTAATGACAATAATGATTTGAATTGTCATGAATATTTTACAAGCCTTCTGTATTATATTTCATTCATTTCATTTGCTCATTTTAATAAATTTCTGTCTTTTTTCATTGGAGTTTTTATTTCCCAGTGGCATATGTATATATTACATATTGCCCAAAATGGCTTTCTGTAGTTTGTTTGTATTTCACATTGTCCAAAGGTGTAAATCAAATGCTGTTCTTTTTGGAGTGGCGCCGTCCCCCACTCACTTGCTGTTCTCCTCTCCCCGCCATCCTCGCTCAGGGTTCGGGCCCCACCTTCCATCTGGCTCTCGCGATCGTCAATGGGACCTGGAGGACGGACGCATGCCACAATGGTGTATAAATGTTTTTTATTTGTAGTTGTAGGAACATTATTCTTAATGTTTATTTCCAAAACGTTTTTGTCTAACTGTGAACACTGTATGAACAACATTCTAATAACATTGTGATGCAAGCCATTAATACAACACCCGTGTCCATAACGTTTCAGGAACATTATTTCTGTGACGTTACAGTCTAACCACCTTGGAACTTTTTTAAAAAATGTTGCTGAATGTTGTGTTGATGTTCTCTATTTGTTGGGGAGAGGCCATGTGTTACTGAGATTGTATCACGGGGAAGGGTGTTCTTAGACACGACGTGAAGCAGAGTAAAATCATAGACTGTATATAAGAGTGGACAGTATGGCTGTGTCCGAAATGGCAAACTTCCATACTACGAAGTACACCAAAGCAGTACATGACAATAGTTAGCAAAAGTAATCACAACTCTTTCATTGCACAGGTGTGTTCTTTATTTAAGGTTCAGGTTAGAAATGGCTAAATACACTGAGAAAAAAGTCAAATAACCAGACTGAAGAACAGAAGATACCTGTTTGGTGGAGTTTGGGGATTGTTGGTGGTCTTCCTCCTGCCAGCGCTTGTGTCCTAAAGAAATAAATAAATGTTCAAAAGATATCAGTTGAAACAACACATATAAAAACTAGAGTAAACGTAAACAAAAAAGAAATGTGTTGAGTCTACTCGTGCTCTAGAATGGTTGTGTACCCACTTGTGTGTACTTGTGTTCTAGAATGGCTAAGTTGTACATACCTGTGTTGTAGAACTCTTTTCCTGCACAGGTGTGTTCTTAATAAAGGTTCAGTTTAGAAAGGATGTAATACAGAAGATAAACATAAACTGAGAAAAAGAATAAAACAAAAAGACTGAGGAACAGAAGAGGATTGTTTGATGGAGTTGTGAGATGGTGGGTGGTCTTCCTCCTGACAGCTCTTTGGTCAGCTTCTCGCTGCCAGAGGTTTCTGTCTTGGTAGGAAGCGTGATGGTTCTGCTGTGCAGATCTCTGAGGTGGGACAGTCCAGGTCTCGGTTTGTGCAGGTCAGGAATGACGGCTGGGTTCATGCCTTGTTCCAGCTCTGTTTTCTTCCACCACTGAAGGGGAGTCTTGGCACCCTGTTCAACTTCTTCTCAAGGCTTCTAGATGATTCCAACAAACTGGCCCTGTCGTGAAGGTCGTTATGGTTGGGTGCTCTGTCAAAAACAGATTCCAAAATCTGAACAGTGACCAAACCATAATTGTTTTAGATATACACATTTTTTAAGCATGTAAAACCACAGGGCAGCACCAAATTATACCTTAGTTTAGTAGGATAACTAACTTACTGTTTTTACTTTAACTGATTTTACAGTGTGTGGGCGAGATCTGGGCCACATCTGTTAGCTTTACTCACATTGGAGTATATGGGCCATATCTGGGCCACATCTGTTAGCTTTACTCACATTGGAGTATATGGGCCAGATCTGGGCCACATCTGTTAGTTTTACTCACTTTGGAGTATATGGGCCAAAAAAAAAAAAGGTCGAACAGAACTAAAGTGCCATAAATTTGAAGTTAAGAATATTGTGACAGCACTTCCAGCTGTTTATCAGAGCATTGCTGCTCTCCAGTTTCAGTTTTAGTTTCCCAAATGCTTTAGCCAACGACACTAATGTTATTCCCCCTTATTAACAGATACACGTTCAACTTGTGTCTGCAGTGTCTGGGGCTTTTAAAATGCTGTTAGAAAAAACCCTTACAGGTCAAAGCACTGTTTTCGATGTACATAAAGGCAGCGTCATTATGCTAGTTATAGTGAACTGTGCTGCCTATCACTGCATAAAACATTAGAAACAGAGGGTTAAAATAGATGTTCAGACACCCCGGGAGTTGTCTTAAAGTTAGGACAGAATTTAGGAAATTTTGTCTAGTTAGGATGGTTCTGTTATACTGTTTTCTGATCTGGAGTTAGGATAAGATCATGAACTTAAGAACTGTTGTTCTGTAATAGCTTCTGATTCCGTCCTAACTGAAGTTGTTAGATTAAGCAGATAAGATAAGATTTCAGACTTAAGAAGTTTCTGTAATACGGCCTCTGAACTACGCTATGATTTCTTTGTTCCAATATTCTGGACATAAAAACTGGACTATAGTGGACATAAAGCCTCATTTTTGTAATTTTATCGACGTACAAGATACAGCTTCTAGCTAACTGTCTTACAGTTTTGAAGT